CTAGAGAGGTGGCATGGGACACACTGGAGCCGTCGGAGCCACTGTCCTCGGAGCAGGAGGGGGGGGCATGGGGCGGCCGCGGGGGTCCACTCGGGGGCCAGCAGGAGCTGGGCACAGTCACCGTGTAGTGTGTGGGGCGTCGGCGGGGACCTGCCCGGAAGGAGTCCATCCTGGGGGAAGAGGAACACAGACATCCTGGGTCTGGGGGGTGGGGACAGAGGCCAGGCAGGGACTGATCGCGAAATAGTCAAAGGCGATTGTGGGCCCACCGACACCCACGTTCTGTGGCCACACGACCACGGTGGGGGAGGAGACTTGTGCAGACGACAAAACTGGAGTCTTTGGGAGCAAAAGGCCTCGCAGAAGAGTCGCCTCTGGCTTCCCTGGCTTGGCCCAGCCTCTATTGAGAGGGGCCCCAAGAAGGTACTGGCCACATGCCACCCACAGGTGCCCGGCTGTATCTAGGAGCCCCCGCCCTGCGTCTCTGGGATGGCCCCTCCTTTACCTCAGAGACTGCGACTGGCCCCTCCTGCCCTGCATGTCGGGGGTAGTGGGGGCGCTGGTCCGTCCCTGCCGCGGGCCAGGGATGCTGCAGGTGGGGACCACATGGTAGGAGGCAGGCTCCAGCAGCCAGGGGCTGGAGGGGCTGGGCCCGTCCTGCGGCGTAGTGGCTGGGCTGCTGCAAAAGGATTGAAGGTGGGTCAGGGCCATTCGGGGTTCACGTTGTGCCAAGAAATGGGGCCCCGAATCCCACCCGCACACAGCCGGGGACAAGGGCAATCCCCTAGCAGACCACTGCTCCCAGCCCCGCCTCCTCCTTCCCCGCCCTGACCTAGACTCGCTACTGGGGTCAGAAGTCTTCCCGGGCTTCTCGTAGGGCTGGTCCAGGCTGGTCTCCTTCCAGGGGCCGTTCTGGATGGGGGCCCGGTCCAGGACCCCTGTCTCAGGTGCTGCGGGCTGCAGCCCCTCCAGGCTCGGGGGCGAGGACCCTGGGCCAGGCTTGGGCACCTGGGCTTCCTCTGCGGGAGGAAAGAACCCTGTGAAGACAGCGACTGGGGAGCCAGCCCAACAGGACCGGC